GTCAAAATACGGTACAACTCGTAAAAATACTCAGCGATACCACACAACAAAACGTCTAATAAGATAAATATAAATTATTTAACCTTACTATTTAAGTTGCTTCTGTCAGTATCCTGTTGTTGGCGCCACCTTCGAAGTTGTGTTCAAGAACATTCTTGATTTTTTCAGCGAGTGAGGTGTTCGTCTGAGGATCATAGTTTGTTGTTAAATCGTCCGTCACAGTTTAAGCCAGTATTTTCGTAGTTTGAACCCACACATATGGTTCATTTGTTATCTCGTGAGAACTAGTATGAACTTTCCACTGTTGGTTAGCTTTCAAGCAATGAAGTTCGTGGACCGGCCTATTCCGAAAACACTGGACGTCATTTAGCGTGGGCCTACCACGAACAGCCCGTGCGTTTACATGTGGGATGAGCTTATAAGACAGGAATCTTTGCAAAGCGGTCTTCACAAAACACAGCAATCTGCGAATTACCGTTGTTTACTAAGAGCGAGCCCACGAGAACACAAGTTGTTTCACTCTCATCCCAGTTTCCGTGGTTTACGCAAGGAACGCACGGGACCATGAGCCCCGTTTTGGCGACCAAAACGGCTTGGATTTTCAGACTTGGGCTTTCCGACGGAAGCCCGAGTAATAAAAAATGATTTACAAACAAACCTCTTCATAAGAGTCGTGTGCGGCTGAGCGTGCAGCGGCATTAAAAGCTGCACGGCCAAGGATACGGGCCCGCGAGAAGAAAGAAGAACTACATCAACATCTGTAGCAGGCATTTGGACTCTAGATTTCTAGATTTCCATTGAGGAAATAATACGTTGGAATTAATCTTAATGGCCATGGTTTACAACTTCGTGTGTAAAATTTGCTGAAATTTTTTAGACTTTAATTTTTGCCAAAGAAAAACAAAAGGGGCTTGACTTAACATTGTTGGTATGGTACAAAATTTATCGTTTATACTGTCTGGTTTCCTTTGACTTTCAATGATTCAAGAATAATTCCAAACACTGAGACTCAGAATTCTTTTCTTTTCCAAATTGTAAAGGTAGGTTTTCGGTTTGTCAGTTTTGAGACCAAAAAATGCAAAGACGCTTTTATTCGCATCAATATTTTGTAGTAAAATATTAATGATTCTTTCCTTAATCTTCTAGTACTCCAATCGCTTAGTATCGTGAAAGAATTACGAGAAGGAATGGATGTATACAAATTGAAAACACTCCTTACTTTTCACATCAGAGAAGGTGCATGGCAGATGGTGCTGCTGTTTACGGATGAACACCCTTCAGATAAACTACCAGAGGAGTGGTTTGATGAAATGTTGGATGTATACTTGGAGTTGTACGCAGACGAGGACGAGGACGAGGAGGTTTTTAGTTCATCGTTATACAGTTTGAAGTCAGGCACATTGAAAGCATGGCCAAGAGAGCACGACCCTGATTGGGTAACATTGTGTAAAGCAATCACGAACAAAGACTGGAAAGTAACCAGATTAATCCTTTTGGGAGTCGGATATCTGATGAAGGTTTGAAGAACTTAAGAACAGCTCTTATCCAGGGTGAACTTTACAGCTTGACCCTGTATTACAATGGTCTACAAAGAGGATTAAAACACCTGTGTGAGGCGATGATCAGTAGGGACTGCGATTTAATCAGGTTAAGCGTCATTCGCAATAGGTTAGGAGACAAAGAAATGATGCACTTATTTAAGCCGCTAACCAGTGCGAATATTGCCAGCTGACCAGTTTAAACGTCAGTGACTGTGAGTTAGGAGACAAATGAGTAATGTACTTCTGTAACGCGCTGACCAGTGTGAATTGCAAACTGATCAGTTTGAATGTCAGAAAGAGTGCGTTGGGAGATAAAGGAATAATGCACTTGTGTAACGCGCTGACCAGTGTGAATTGCAAGCTGACCAGTTTGAACGTCAGTGACAGTCTGTTAAGAGGCGAAGGAATGNCTGATCTAAATTGCTTGCTATAGAGCGTGGTTCAGGGCTGGTTCATATTGATCAGCCAGAACTCGCCGACAGGAAAATCAACGCTTAGGTCAAAAGTATATTAACATAAAGTTCTCACATGTACCTAGGTTCAGTTGAGATTCTAATGAGCAATCTTATGCAAAGTTTTCTTTTCTATTCACCTCCATCGCCACGGATTTTGCCGACATGAGTAAAGGTCTTGCATAAGCTAAAAAACTTCCTTTCAAATCTTCCAAGCTACCAATGAAACAGTAAACACGATTCAAAACTGAAAAGAGAAATGTACTTTTTATTGTTACGTTACTTGTTCACTTGTTCTTCATTTCAACTAAACCTCCGTCTGTACCTCGACGAAGCCTGCAATTCATGGCAAACGAAGCCGGGTATTATCAGCCAGAAAAGTAAAAAGAAAATCAAACGCTTAATATGTCAAGCATAAAGAACTTCGACACTCGGCTTATCGTTAAAGTTTATTCAGTCTGGCCATCACCTCTGAATTTTCAAACCCCTCCTTTTCAAAAAGAAAAAGGAAATGTCACTGATTGTTTAAAGTTCTTTAGAGGGATAATACATAATTATTTGGTGTGTGTATTTATAACAATGCTTAATTATAAGCTTGAATCAGAGATGGTATAATTGTTGTCCAGTTGATCACTTAGCTTTACCAGGTAACGTATTGTTTTACAAATTGGGTCATTTAAAAGGTCGTATTAGTGATAACGTGTAATAAGCCATGCCAGAGGTCGATATAACTGGGCCCATGCTTGGACTGTTCCGCTTCATAAACACTTCTTTTTTTATCGCCAAGAGGCAATTCAAGATCTCTTTCATTTTACATGATAATATCTTCCCCTTTCGAACCCACTTTAATGTCATCTTGGTGCAATTTTAATGAATGAATAGGACAGGCAACAATTATAAATATATTCGATTTTGAGTTTCGACGATTTTTAATTCATTTTTTGACTGACTTTCAACGACCTTCTCTTATTTGGGCTGTCTTTTTATCCGACCGGATCGTGCGTTACATGCAAAGTCTGTTGTGGAAGATTGTTAACAAGTTAAAAGTAGATCCCTATCGTTGCTACGCAGGTTTTTTCCCCGTTTTTTCTTTTTTTCCTTCTTCCACTAAAACCAAAACACGAAATTCTGACTCTTTGTTCATAAAGTACTTGGCCAAACAGAAAAACTTTGTGAAGGCGTTATTTTTCATATTCGTTTAGGCGTTTTTTCCATAACTGTAAAAATGATATTAAGCTGATACGTGTTAAATCATTCTCCACTAAGGGAACCAAAAGCCTCAAAATGAGAAGGACAGTGATAAAGTTCTTTACTGCTGACAAGCTGTTCGAATTACTATTAACTATAATTTTCAATCACAATGCTAGTTACATTTCAATCAAAGATATAGCTCTTGCTCTCTGTGTTGATCAATACTTACTGAAACAAATGTCTTCTCAGCCGAAAAGTAGATTTTTCCTTTGTGGGTCCATGAAAAAAGTGTTTTGATAGATAGATAGACGTTTATTAAGATGAATACCTTAATAGCAGCTGGAAGCTGAATTGTAAAGGTGTGCAAATTATGTAATAGAACTAAGCAATAAAATGAAACCTAAAAGGGAACTAATTAACATATCATGAATTGTAATAAATGTTAGTTAAAATGTCTTGCGCTTGCTGGAATGAAAGTATCTCTGAACCGATTTGTTTTAAAGGAAACTCTAAATGGTCTGCGTCGTCGTAACTCCATAAGTTGATCTCGGTTATCGAAAGGCAGTAAGTGGTACAAACAATCCAAGGGATTGGAGACGATGTTGTTAAAGAATTTTAAGCAAAGGTCTTCTCTCCGATCCCTTAGGGTTTTCAGCTCTGCCATCTGAAGCACTTCTCTATAATGATTATCATAACCGTATATAATTTTCAAGGCTCTCTTTTGGACACGCTCTAAAC